ATTCTTTTTTCTATTTCTGTGAAGAATGTCATTGGGATTCTGATTGGGATTGCATTGAATCTGTAGATTGCTTTAGGTAATATAGACATTTTAACTATGTTTATTCTTCCAATCCATGTGCGTGGGATGTCTTTTCATTTCTTTATGTCATCATCGGTTTCTTTCAATAATGTCTTGTAGTTTTCATTGTATAGGTCTTTCACCTCCTTGGTAAGATTTATTCCTAGATATTTTATTCTTTTTGATGCAATTGTAAATGGTATTATTTTTTTGAGCTCTCTTTCTGTTAGTTCGTTATTAGCATATGGAAATGCAACTTATTTTTGTAGATTGATTTTGTACCCTGTGACTTTGCTGTAGTTATTGATTATTTCTAATAGTTTTCCAATGGATTCTTTAGGGTTTTCTATATATAAAATCATGTCATCTGCAAATAATGAGTTTCACTTTTTTGTTGCCTATTTGGATTCCTTTATTCCTTTTTCTTGCCTAATTGCTCTGGCCAAAACCTCCAGTACTATGTTGAATAACAGTGGTGAGAGTTGGCAGCCTTGTCTCATTCCTGTTCTCAGAGGAATGGCTTTCAGTCTTCCCCGTTGAGTATAATGTTGGCTGTGGGTTTGTCATAAATAGCCTTTATTATGTTGAGGTACTTTCCTTCTATACCCATTTTGTTGAGAGTTTTTATCATAAATGGATGTTGGATCTTCTCAAATGCCTTCTCTGCATCTCTTGAGATGACCATGTGGTTTTCCTTCCTCATTTTGTTGATGTGGAGTGATACTGCTCTTTTTTAATTAAAAGTTACTTTTTTCTCTTCTCATTAGAAAATCAATATGATAACAAAAATAAGAAAATAAAAACATTTATAATCCCATCATCTCCAGATAGCTAATATTAGCACCTTGGAGTATATTCCTCCAGACATTGTCTATAAATATACACATTTGGTATTACTTTTTCTTTATTCAATTTACATTACTTCAGTATCAGGCATTAGAGGAGAAAGTTTGGAAAATCTGTAGACAAAGAGTAGCAAATGGGGGTAGGGTCTGCATTGAGAGGTTGCTGGTTTGTCCAGTTTAGGGTTAAGAGAAATAAAATGGAATGCCTTTAGTCTGGGGATGCCTTCTTCTTACCTCTATCTCCACTTCTACCCTGATGCCTTTCTCTCAGCCAGCTGTTGAGCCTGTTTTATTTAGCCCTGAGGGCATTTGTGTTAGTGACAGCTACAGAAGGATAAGCTAGAGATGTTTCTGATCAGATCAGTCAAGTCACTAAACATTTTATGAGACAGTTTTTTGTTAAAATAAGTGTAGTTTCTTCTGTCTTAATCTTTTGAAGGTCTTAGAGCATTCTGTATATGTGATTGTCTTGGGGCTCTGCTGTAAAGCAGGTTAATATTATCTCTGTCTGTGTCTATTATCAATTTAAGCCATGCCCATCATTTTTTCTGTGCCACTTGCCATGAGAACCAACAGATTGAACGAGGAGATTTAAAGTAAGCGTATGAATGAAATTTAGTTGGACCTCCTGGGATTTGGGGAATATTGTCATTTTAGATGGCAAGTAATAGGTTAAAATAAACAGTGTTTTATTCAGTGAATTGAATTCACCAACTGCATGGTTAGACAATAATTGCTAAGTTGGAGGAATTTTAAAAGGCTCCTTTATAGCTTCAAGATCCCCAAGGATGTGGTAAAAATGCCCCAATGTTAAGCTTCTGCCTCTAGATGTCTCCCTTTAGCTAGGGAGAGTTTGCATGTTTTTAATTGCCCCTTGTTTTAGTTTACTTGTAAGATTTTATTTGATTCTGCAAGACAATAGAAGGGAGACTGTCTTCTTAGACCCAGATTGCACATTAGAAATTGATTTACATAGAATCTATTGGAAGCATAATATCCATTATGTATAGGTGAATAAAATGTGTTAATTTGAGTTTAATTTTGAAAAATTGGCTTTTCTACCTTTTAAATGAGTTATTACATATTAATTTTCTGACTGCTTATTTATAAAATTGTGTGAGACTGTATGAAAGTTAACATTTTTTTGTAGTCCTTTACATTGATAAGGTTTATAAATCTAGAAATAAGTATGTTAGTAGGGAGAATAGGAAAGAAAGAATAAACTCTGATTTAAGTTTATGTTTCCTGTTTAACAGTGGGTGGGTCAGGGAGACCCCTGTGGTAGGTTTTGGGATCCAGCAGAGCAGTGGCCGGTCTTTCCCTAGATGTTGGCATCTGTTGTTCATTTCAGCCAGTGTTTTACTGGGAAGAGTCCTAGGGGCTCTCTTTTGCCTGCTTTGGTGAATCTGGGATAGCTTCAGTTCAGATTTTGCTATTTTGGATGTACAGGAACTGATCATTTTTTTAGTGATGGGAAAAGCTCTGTTGGGAAAGAGGGAATTGTCATAATGGGCATCAGCAGGACTGAGGCAGTGCTGTAGTCAGCCAGACTTTAGGGAGTTGTTCCTTGTTGGTAGAATTTTTGTACTTTTACCTCATCTTTGAATTAGACAGTTTTTGAGGGGGTCTGATTTCCATTCTTTTAAAGAGTGTTAACTCCATTTTGTTTTAGCTGGCCTGCAGAAAGAATATTTCTTCCATCTTAGCAATAGGTATTCTTTGTGTATTCTAGGTCTTCAATAAAGAGTTGTCATGAATGAGTGAACGAACGAATTCTGAAACATCCATCAGATTACGTTAGTGCCCTGATCACTATTATATCCTAGAATCTTTTGGTTAGAACTGTTGTAGTGTCCTTGGATGGGATTTTCTCAGCACCAAATAAGAATAATAGAGGTAAAAGTACTTTTTAAACCAAAAGGTACTTAACACTTATCAGCCAATATTATTATAATTTGTGAGTCCATTCAGTAAATAGCAAAGACTTGTCTTTTCATAGATGCTTTGATGCTCTACAATTGTCCAACAGAGAAATAGCATGTCTTTTGTCAGGGAAACTCCAGCTCTTTGACTTGACTCACATGTTTGGCACTATTTGGCATTATTTTGACTATTTTGTAGGAGTCTCCTGCTCCAGGTGCTTCATTAGCTATGGTAGGCACAGTTTCCTATCTGAAAATTAAAAACGCATTGTGGGGCTGGCCCGGTGTCATAGTGGTTAAGTTTGCGTGCTTTGCTTCGGTGGCCTGTGGTTCACAGGTTTGGATCCCGGGCATGGACCTGCGCACCACCTATCAAGCCATGCTGTGGCAGGCATCCCACATATAAAGTAGAGGAAGATGGGCACAGATGTTAGCCCAGTGCCAATCTTCCTCAGCAAAAGGAAGAAGATTGGCAACAAATATTAGCTCAGGGCTTATCTTCCTCACCAAAAAAAAAAAAATGCATTGTGCTGATAGTATTTTGCATACGTGTCTTATGGCTGTTTCTTATGTATAAGAACTTAATAAGCCTATAAATACTTCTTGAATGAGTGGACAAATGGACTTCAGTTAAAGAAACATTGGAATAAATTGCTTTTGAGCACTTATCATGTGTCCTTGTAGAACTTTACTGTCTAATAAGGCTGCAGACACATGAATAGATAATTACAGTCCAATGCATTGTGTGCTACAGTGGAAAGATAGTTTGAGAATCATAGGAGCAAGTCCATCTGGTGGTATCAGGAGAGACTTCTTAGAGGTGGCAGTCTCTGAGCTGAGCCTGGAAGGAAGAGTAGGAGTTTGCCGAATAGACACTAGAGGGGTGCATTTCAGACAAATAGAATGTCAAGTGTAGGGACTGTTGAAACAAAAAAAATGATTGAATACTGAGTTCTTTTTAAAAAACTTAAAGTAGTTTTACAGCATTAGCCGAATTTTAGATAGAAACTACACAGCATGAGCAAGATAAATTCAGTCTCTCCATTATGATTGTAATAATATAAATATTTACTCTGTCTGTTGTTCCTGGTTTTCAAAGGGATCTTTCTATACTTTCTTGTCCAAGCAGCATATATTAATGACACGTTCCAGACCTGAGCTGGCTCTTGTCTTTTGAAGCCTGGGGAAAGAAAAGGAGTACTGTTTCACAACTATTAATTACAATAGCTTCTGTTTATTGAATGCCTAATATATACCAGAAATTTTACATATACCATCTTCTTCTCCTTACAAAAACTCTGTAAGATAGGCCTTATTTATCCTTACTCCTAGATGAGGACACTGAGGTGGAGGTGGTGAAGGACTTGCCACATAGTTAAGTCAGTGGCAGAAGCGGGAGAGGAGCCTAGGGTTGTCTGATTCCAAAGCCTGTGTCTTTTCCACTGAAAACAACCTTAGCAAAACCCTGGAGTCTGGCTCTTGAAACTCTACAGGAGAATAAGCTTGCAAAAACAGAGCATGAGTTTGGGGTAGTAGAAGATCCGATCTATAGAGCGGGTGGGAAGTTGCACCTTTGAAGGTATGGTGCAGTTTGGCTCGGAGGGTGATCGGGAGCCCCTGCAGAGCTTTGAAGGCAGAGTGATATGCACAGTGGCAGGCTCTCCTTCACGTGGGAGCACTGCATCAGACACTTGTTGAAGAAACAAGGAATGTGTGCAAGAGGTAAAGAACACTTGGCGTTTAGGAAATTTAGGGTAATGTAGACATAAAATTGCAAAGTTATAGGTAAAACATCTCTGTGGGGTCAAAGATCAAGAGTGTTGCAAAAAAGAAAGTGACTGGTATTGGCACTAATTTTGCCTCTTAGCCTTGTAACATTTCGGGTTCTCAGATGTTGAGGTTGATAAGTGTTTTTGTGTGGTGAGCAGAGTGGTGCTTTCTGATGAGAAGTACACAGGCCTGAGGAAGGCGTGGGAGGACAGGTATAAGAAATGCTCCTCCCTCAAAAATAACAGTGGGTCTGCTCTAGGATGATACTTTGCAGCTTAGGACATGATCACTGCCTGTTTATGTGTTTTATCAACATCTGTCAGATTACTGGACAGGACATTTCAGAAGGTACAGGCAAATGCCTTCTATTAAAAGGGCCACAGTTTTCCATTCTTGCAGCAGCAGAGGATGAAGCCCCAGTGGAGTCTTTTGAGGCCTGCTTAGAGTTGACTGCCAGCCAGAAGTCTTCTAGAGCCTTCACTTTTTTGCTAATTATTTCTGTTGAACCTTGGTGGCTTTTCTCTCTTGGTGGTGCAAATTTGACATTTATGAGGCCGTTTACTATAATTTAGTTCCTGCAGTTCTATAAAATTATAGGCCTTATAAAATGGTTACTTTTCGTTCAATTTATGGAACAGTAAACATTATCCCTTCTTCTTTTAGCCTCTTTCAAAGCTCCCTTTAGCTCATTTGAATGAAAGGAATGGAGGCACTTTCCATAAAGAGGGAGATTGGTGAGTCACTCCCTGCAGAGTCCCGGCTTCCAGCTTTCTTTCACCTTAGATTTTGTACCAGTTAAATGCTTGGCTTGTCATTCTGATGCATTTTTTCTGCATAGTTCAGCTTTGATACTTTCTGAGCAGCAGCACTGAATATCTCCCTAGAAAGAGATAAAAGTTTTTACTCTTTTCTCTTTTAAGGCAGGTGTCTCATCAAGTAGAGAACTCTGGCTAACAGAATTTACTATTTTTGTCTTCTTTTGCCCATGTTGTTTTTTTTTTTTTTTTGTGCTGAAGATCAACCCTGAGCTAACATCCGATGCCAGTCCTCCTCTTTTTGCCCAGGAGGACTGGCCCTGGGCTAACATCCGTGCTCATCTTCCTCTACTTTATATGGGACGCCGCCACAGCATGGCTTGACAAGCAGTGCGTCGGTGTGCGCCCGGGATCCAAACCTGCGAACCCTCGGGCCGCCAAAGCAGAGCGCGAGAACTTAACCTCTACGCCACCGGGCCAGCCCCTGCCCTTGTTTTTAAGGCTGTTGTCACTTGAACTTTCCCCACTCTTGGCTTATCCTTCAATTTTTGCCCCATCCTTCGTGGAAGTAACAGTCTATTACAAAATGTTCACGCTTAGATGTGAACTTGATCTGTGAGCTCCTAACACATAAAAATAATTGTGTTTACCAGCTTAATACTTTTGGTTCTGCCTCTCAGAGTACGGTATTCCTAGGTAAAAAGATAGTCAGCCTTAGCAGGAGGATATAGTAAATTGTGGTAGAGACAAATATTTGCTGGAAACTAAAGAGCTTCCCTGAAGAAACAATGTGTATTTGCAAGGATCGAAGAGAAAGAGACTTTTTTCTGTTTATGCTTAGCATCTGTAATAGATGATGTAAGCGATGACCCCCTCTGTGGTCACTCTGGTTTTTCTTCTTAGGCTCAGATTTCCAGAATTTGTTAAGGAAAAAGGCAGGTCAAGGTTGACGGCACTGGTGGTCAGGAGGGGATTGTGCAAAAAATTATCTGTCTGGAAACTAGACTCCTAAAGGACTCAATTTAGGAAATATGTTGTTAAATATTAATTAAAATCCAGAGAAGACGTATATTTCTCTTTTGAAAATAAACCATCCATTAGTTTTTCAAAAGGTTATTTGTGAAGAATATAAGATATAAATGTCTCTAATTAACTTGGCCTGGGATAGGACCTCTGTTCCTGAACAGTCCCAATTGTGTTTAGACAGGAGGGGGTGAGCTTTCCCAAAGGTAACACAATTGAACTTGAGTCCTTCCTTAGGGTACCCCCCTCTCTCTTATTCCTACCCTAAATGTTTCTAGCCTTATGGGTTTGGTTTCTAATCTTATTTTGCTGAGCAAGCTGCAAAAATGTCAGATTTTTCTGACTGTTCCTCTGCCTTCTGATTACCCTTTTAAGCAATGCTGATTGCAGGAAATTGCTGTGGTGCAAGGCGGGTGTCACAACACACAGTGATTAAAACCCGCATGTGTCATTCACTGCCTGATTGAAGTAATCACACAGAGGGGAAGAGTAGATGAAAAACCTGCCAAATGTGCAGAGGGGGGCTGTTTCTCATCACTTGGGTTTAAGGATTTTGAGTTAAAGAACCAAAACTAGTGTAAGGTTTCTGTTTTCAGTCATTTTGTTTTATTCTGAATCCTCAAAACTTCTGAGCAGGGTTTGGGTTCCAGGTTGTCACCTGTGCTTCTCACCAACCAGCAGTAGATTGGAAGTCCCAACAACCCCCTCTTCGGGTTCAATTAATTTGCTAGCGTGGCTCACAGAACTCAGGGAAACATTTACTTAATGTTTACCAGTTGATTGTAGAGGAGACAAGTGAAGAGCCAGATGGAAGAGATGCAGAGGGCAAAGTATGAGGGAAGGGGCTCGGAGCTCCCATGCTCTCGGAGTGTGCCACCTTCCCTGCACCTCTATTTCTTCACCAACCTGGAAGCTCTCTGGAGCCCCGTCCTTTTGGGTTTTTATGGAGGCTTCCAATACATAGGCTTTGTTGGTTAAATCATTGGCCATTGGTGATTGAACTCTATTGCCAGCCCCTCTCCCCTCCTTGGAGGTGGGGGGGTGGGACTGAAAGTTCTAACCCTCCAATCACGTGGTTGGTTCCCCAGCAACCAGTCCCCATCCTTATGTTACCTAGGGGTTTTCCGAAAATCCCCTAATTAACAAAATAAAAGACACCTTTCTCTCTCATCACTTAGGAAATTCCAAGGGTTTTAGGAGCTCTATACCAGGAATGGGGATGAAGACCAAATATATATTTCTTATTGTAAGTCACAATATCATCACTAAGCTATTTAAATTATTTGGTTTTTCTAAAAAAGTGTTAGTCCCATTTGGGCATGGCAATTTGGACTAGATACAGTAGTCAGTATGGAAAATACAGCTAAATATTTGAAACTTGATTTCTATCTAAATCATCATGACCAATCCCATTCTCTTCCCATCTTCTGCTCTGGTGCTCCCTGTGTGTGTCTGAGTGTGGAAAGAGAGTGGGCTGGCCGACCCTTATGCACTTGAGACATTGGATCATTAACATTTCTTGAACAAAGAACATTATGAGTCAAGCACTGTAATAGGTATTGGAGGTATCCACTGATGATTTCTCTTTTTCTCCCTCAGGTACAGAACCCTGGTATTTCTATTTAATTAATGGATTTCTGAATTTTAACGTAGCCTTTGCTTTGGCTCTCCTGGTCTTACCACTGACTTCTCTTATGGAGTACCTACTGCAGAGATTTCATGGTGAGTGGCTTAAGAAATGATAGGTTTTATGGGAGGAAAGAGCAGGTAACAATGTATACCAAGAAGTGAAAAAGAATCTACTTTTTTATTCTCCATTTTCCTCCTATGGAAATGGTTGGCTTATTGAATTTTTTTTTTTAAGTTTTTATTTTTTTTATTGTTTATGTTTTGTGTGTGTGTGAGGAAGATCAGCCCTGTGCTAACATCTGCCAATCCTCCTCTTTTTTCTTACTGAGGAAGACTGGCCCTGGGCTAACATCCATGCCCATCTTCCTCTACTCTACATGGGTCGCCGCCACAGCATGGCTTGCCAAGTGGCACGTCGGTGTGCGCCTGGGATCCGAACCAGCGAACCCCGGGCCGCCGCAGCGGAGCGCACACACTTAACCGCTTGCGCCACTGGCCCGGCCCCCCCGGCTTATTGAATTTTTGATCTGTACTTGTAGATTATTTAACCCTATATGAAGATTTGGTTAATAATTGCAAGTTAAACTGACAGAGGGAGGAGATTCATATCCCTTCAAGTGAAGAAGTCAGTATAATATACAGAACCACCCAGGGAGGCAAAAACATTTATGAAATCTCAGGAGATAAGCCTACTTGAGTCTTCTGCTTTTTAAGGAAGTGTGTGTTAAGTGTGTAGATGGCTTAAGATAATCAATGGCAGAGGCAAACGTTCTTTGGGAAATTACTTCAACCAAAAATTTGAAAACCGAACCGTACAGGGATTCTCCCAAATTTGAACTGAAGTGAGAGAAGCTTTGGACTTCCTAAGAAGCGTGATGCTTCTCTTTGTTCTGTTTTGCTTCTGAGTTTGCCTTATTGTAGATTTGGTTTGTCATTTATTTTGCTTGCTCTGATTCTGTATTGCACAGCCAGTGTTTTCTCAAGTTGTCATGGCTCTGAATATCTAGAGCCCATAGTTTCTTTTATGGAAGACAGATTTGAGCAGAAATTCATATGAGCTTTGGCAAGAGATTTAATTTCAGGCTTTTCAGTCTGATTTGGATGCCATATGATCCCTGCATCTCACCCCCGATTCTGCATTTCTAGTATTAATGGTTTATAAAGAGTTCGCTGTGTTAGAATATGACCGCAGCCTTCAGAATAACTTTTGTTTTGTTTTAGGACTTTTGTTTTAACATAACCATAATGCCATTATCCTAACAAAATTAACAGTAATTCTTTAATATTATCTAACACCCAGTTGATATTCAGATTTCCTACGTTGTATGAAAAATAGCTTTTTACAATTAATCTCTTTAAACAGGATCTAAACAAGAGTCATATACTGAATTTGATGTTATATTTCTTAAGCTTTTTAAGAGGTTCCCCCTCACCTTTTTTCTCCTGAATATTTCTAAAAAAACCAGGTCGTTCATGTTGCTTAGTGTCCCATACTTGGATTCAGCTGTTTGTTGCCTTGAGGAGTTAACTTATTCCTCCGTTCCTTGTATTTCTTAAGGATCACTTTTTCTTTTTTGAAAAGTAACTTTTTTTCTGACTATAAAAATAATTTATGCTTGTGGAAAATTTAGAAATGCTTGTGCTGTCAGTATAAAAACAGTATATTAAGCTGTTCTCTACTGTATGAATCCAATTTTGGTTTAAAAGTGTGTAATGTACACAAACGTTCACCTAGTAAGAAAATAAGTGCTTTCTGTTTTTTCTTTATACTTTTTGTGTATTTTATAATAGAAACAATACTTCCTTAAAAGAAAAAACAGAAAAATATAAAGAAGCAGGAAAGAAATTATCCATTATCCCATCGTAGTACAACTGTGGTTATGATTGTGTACATTTTATGGAAGACTTTTCAAAATTTTAGGCCATATTTTTAAAATCCATTTGTTAGCCTTTAAGATACAGAAGACAAACAGATTGTTTACTTGTAGAAGGTGGATTTGTTTTCTTCTAGTTAAGAAAATTCCAACCTAAGATAGTTCCTGGAAATGTATAAATCCTAAGTTGTAGCCTAAAATCTCATGATGAAAATCTTAAGAGTGGAAAGTTTAAAAGATAAGCTTGTTATTGCAGTTCAAGAATTTTTATCCCTAAAGAGTTTCTGCAAAAATACAGATAACTTCAGAATGCTAAATTAGGCGTTGCTAAGGTGGATCTTGATGACAGTCCTGATCTTTTCATCTAAACTTGCTCATTGTAGACATAATGGACACCAGGAGGCACTGTCTGTCTACCCTTTGCCAGTGATTCCTGTGCACTGCTCATTATCACTAATGCAAACACAGTAGGAGATGCCTTCACTGTGGGTTGCAGGCTTATCACTCAGTGTTCATGTACCTAACCACAGGAACTTTCCAGCAGGTGCTTGGGTCTTAGTGTTCATTAGATTCCTTTAATTCTTTCACATGCTTTAAGTACATTTCAGTTTCAATTTTGGGATTCAGAGTGGATGGGTATTGCAGAAGAGGAGAGAAAACTTCATCAGTAGATTTCCTTTAAGAGTGTTTTTATATTTACTTTGAAACAAAGTCTTTGTCATTTGTGGCTTGATGAAAACCACTGATATGTTTGTGAATCTAACTCTTTTTCTTTTCTTTCATCTATATATAGCTATTTGAACAGACCAATTGGTGTATAAGATTAATGTGTTAAACAGAACATAGTAATTAAAACCCAAGAGTTGAGTTTATGTTATGCTTTTGGTTAATCTGAGGAACCTTTAGTCTAAGTGGCAGGACTCATTAAGAGAGAAGGCTTTTTTTTCTTCATCCAGTGTAGAAATTATTAAGCTCTATTACCCATTCACCTGACTTTCACTTGTGTTCTAGCCAAATCCAGTATTGTGCCTCCCTTTAAATGTTGGATCTCTTGGGAGAGCTAAGGAGTATATATTTATTTCTGCTTCACTCCTTTATTGCATCAGAGAAAGTGTGAATACAAGAGTTGAAACATTTTATGGGGTGTCCAAGGGCATACTCTCAAGTTGGAGATCAAGAGAACATTGAAACTAAATATGTTGTTTTGTTCTAATATGGTGAAAGGTGGATATTTTTCTGTCTTACAGTTCAGAATTTAGGCTACCCATATTGGCTTACCCTGGCTCCAATGTATATTTGGTTTATAATTTTCTTCATCCAGCCTCACAAAGAGGAGAGATTTCTTTTCCCTGTATATCCACTTATATGTCTCTGTGGCGCTGTGGCCCTTTCTGCACTTCAGGTGAGTTTCAGGGAAATGTATATCTGCTTTATTCTGTTTCACTTTTTTAAGTTGCTCGTAAAGCTTCAAGGCAAATTACAGAATGCTTCCACCTAAGATATTTTATCCATACATTAGACCTTATACGGATTATAGTATTAAAGCTTTATGTGTTGATTCCTTGGCTATTGATCATACTCTTATTTGCTGATTACATATTTACGGTGTTAATTTGTCTCTGTTGCCAACGAGAATCCAATTGCTATCAAGGAAGTTTTTTTAAGTCATTGTGTGGGCCTACCACAGAATGGTTGCACCACGGCAGAGCTAATGGGATGTCTGCTCTTCAACTACGAGATCAGATTAAAACTTGCTCAGGTGTTTGGGATAACATCAGGCAGTTAGCAATATGGGATGCTTTGTGATCCTGGCTTAAAACCTGTTCAGGTCAATTCCTTGTCAGAACTAATCTTGAATATCTCTGTATTTATGGTCTCAGAAGCCTCTACACTCTTTTTAGACCTCTGCTACCATTTGCAATTGGCAGAAAAAAATAATTAGAGCGATAGAGTTTTTTTTTAGATTTATGGAGATATAATTCAAAAACCATACAGTTCACTCATTTAAAGTGTACAATTCAGTGGTTTTTAGTATAGTCACAGATATGTGTAACCATCACCACAGTCGATTTTAGAGCATTTTCATCACTTCAAAAGCCCTGTACCTTTTAGCTGTCATCATCACCTTTTCCCATATCTCCCCAACCATAAGCAACCACTAATCTACTTCCTGTCTCCTGTCTCTACTTGCCTTTTCTGGGCATTTCGTATAAATGGAATCATACAGTATGTGGTCTTTTGTGACTGGCTTCTTTTAGTTAGCATAATGTTTTTAAGGCTCATCTGTGTTAGGATGATAGTTTTAAAAAATAATTTTAATTATAAAAGTAATGGAACTTGATTACAGATAATTTTCAGCATTTTTGCCTATCATATGTCAAAGTTTATTATGGTTGTAATCTAAGTGTACATATAACTTTATATCCTTTTTAATATAATTATGTCATAACATATTCTGTGTTGCCATATCTATACTCATCATTTTAATAGCAGTATAATGTTCTTAATTGGATATTATATATAACATTATGTAATATATAATATATTGAGTTGCTTATATGTAATATAATGATTAGATGTAATTTTTGTCAGACTTTAGGTTGCTCATTTATTTCCGTATCGTAAATAATGCTAGGATAAATATCTTCGTTTAGGTATTTGGATTGTTTCCTTAGGAAAGATTCCCAAAAATATGAAAGGAGGTCAAACATATTTATGGCACTTATTGTATATTGCAAAATTGCTTTTTGAAAGTAGTTCTAGTCTAGGAGGGAAGGAAAGAAAGAAAGAAATCTAATGGGAAGGTACTCAAAGCCTGCAGAATTCATGTATGTATTGTAATAGTATTCATCTAGTTTGTAAAGTAGTTTAGCAGATACTTAATAGCATTTTCCTAATGTTCTATGAGAGGAATTCTTTTTTCTTCTTCTTTGATGAGACATTTTGTTGATACTGAAAACTTTGATGAAAACTTTTGGGTAAGGAAAGTAAAGATTAATATTTGTTATATCAAAATAGATTGAGATACTTCATATATCAAAGCAAACTAAAACATTTTTTAACATAGATTTTAAAATTTAACAATTTTTAACATTTAAACCAAAGCGTTTTTGTTTAAATATTTTAAAAAAATTATTAGGACCTTAAGCACTAGAGAAATATCCAAATAGTTTTCCTAGGAAGCTAGTGAGATTTCCTTCTTGGCAAGCCTTCTGGCTGATCTGACCTACAGATAGTCTCAGCAGAGTTTGCCTTAATCTTAGGATTTGGAGTGGGTACCTCGCTAAGTATTTGCAATTCCCAGACCCCTGATAGAACCTCTTTTGCTGCTTCCTCCCTCTTGGTATTACTATGATGTCTTGTGATTATGTGTATCCTGCAAGGTATATCTTCTTTTTTCAACATAGTTTTCTTTCCTTCCAGAAGTGTTACCACTTCGTGTTTCAGCGATACCGCCTGGAGCACTATACCGTGACATCGAGTTGGCTGGCATTAGGAGCACTCTTCCTGTTTGGGCTCTTATCCTTTTCTCGCTCTGTAGCACTGTTCAGAGGTAGATGTCCTGAGAATATCTTATACATACTCACGAGGCACTTCACCGTGGGTTTTCCATGATGAATGATTGTTTAATACAATTCAGCTTAAGCTGGGAGGAGAACCTGTGGACTTAATATTATGACTGGGCTGCAGTTTCTCTACCTTAGGATTGAAAAGAAGATTGAGAATTCCTTTTAGTGTGAATAACTGTAAATTTTTTTCTCTGTTCTTGTTGATTTTTTTTCATTTTAAAAGATGAATTAGGGAAGTCTTAAACTTAGGTTGCAAAGTTCAGGCTCAATTCCCGTGATTATATTCTTTCTTAGAATCATTATTTGGATCCCGAATGTTAAAATGTGCTCAAAGAACATAAGTTAAAAAGGTAGAAGGGTGTAGAAAAGGGCAAGAAAGCAAATTATTTTTGGCAAAATACGGTCTCTACTGTAATCATCTTCCTAACTACAGAGACATTTTATACCAGTGGAGCAGGCGTCCTGCTGGAGTTGCTGTAGACCTTAACACTCTTAAATTTCACATGGATTACAGTGGGACATTAATATGCGTTATAATTAAATGTCAGAATCTCATCTTACTGGTCTTTGGCTTTCACAAAGCTTTGTCCCTTCCAGGGTATCATGGGCCCCTTGATTTGTATCCAGAATTTTACCGAATTGCTACGGACCCAACCATCCACACTGTCCCAGAGGGCAGGCCTGTGAACGTCTGTGTAGGAAAGGAGTGGTATCGATTTCCCAGCAGCTTCCTTCTGCCTGATAAGTAAGTTGTTCTTTAATTCCCCGAGTTTTAAGTCAAGGAGTAAAATTAGCAATTCTGTGGCAATGTCTTCTTAATTTTTCTTTCATTTTGGATTTTTCACAAAAAGATTTTGAATAATTTACCATGTCAGAGAGCTGTGAGATCTGCACTGTGCACCCATCGCCTGTGTTCAGTAGACTGGGTGCTGTGTCTAGTTATGCACCCTGCACTGCCTGTAACCACAGAGGTCTGGGGACTTCTAAAAACACCTTGGGCCGTAGGTTCCTGCTAGTGGCTCTTCCTGAGGATTTATATTTAAATTTATAATAATTAATCCAATTCTAAAAGTGGTCTAGAAACTCTAGCTAGAAGAGTGTTTTTAGAGAAGAAATGTTTGTCATACAACAACAGTGAAAGTTCTCCACCAACTGTGTGGACAATGGGAAAAGCTGTGCTTAAGATATCTGTACCACTTTTCTTTATGCTATCTGTTGTTGGAGGTGATGGCATAGGCTTTGGAGTTCCTTGTATTTGCTTAATTTGGACGACGAAGAGTCCTATTTAGGGAAAAGGGAAGTCAGGTTAAGATGAGTCACGTTGCTTCATTTGGGGACTGGCTTCAGCAGCTTAACTGGTGGTGGTATCTTGTGCTGGATAAAGATCCTGTATCAATCACTGATGATTAAATTAAAACTTAAAAAAAAAATCTTAACTTTAGCCTTTGCCTTTTACATTTGAAATAGTTTCATAACTAAAGATACTTTTGAGGATTACTCAGGAACAAAGTACTTCTCCCATAGTGTATTCTTACATTTCATTCTTTTCCTACCTGATGAATTTGCTTTAATTTTGATAAGTCTCTCTGATCATGTGGTATTTGGTAATAAACTTTGATGCTTCTCTGGTCGTTTGGTGGAATGATCATTTGGATGCAAATTTCACTGCTGAGAGTTGGTGAAATAGGTTGAGAGACCTCTAGTTGAAAATTTCTCAACGATTTTGGACTGAATTGTGACCTCTGCCTCTATGCTCCCTGGTTGAGATTTTAGCAGAAATATTTTTTCTCCAAGTGAAATGTTTTTCACATGAATTTTTTTTTGACTTGTTTATTTCACGTACATTTAGTAATATGAGCCCCCTGTGTTTTTCTTATTCTCCTTATTTGTGTTTCTGACAGTTGGCAGCTTCAGTTCATTCCATCAGAGTTCAGGGGCCAGTTACCGAAACCTTTTGCAGAGGGACCACTGGCCACCCGGATTGTTCCTACTGACATGAATGACCAGAACCTAGAGGAGCCATCCCGATATGTAAGGGCAACATTCTCCTTTTACTACTTTGAAATGAGTTCTACCGCTAAAATCTGTTGGCATACATACTAGAGCGTTGATGGAACGGGAATTTCTTAGAAAGTGGTTTCTTTACAGTGAGGGGTATAACAGCTTTTATTGAGAAAAATGAACAGTATCACTTTTATTTGCAAATTACCTCCTTCTTTATTTTATATGTAAAACATATAATTCAATACATTTTCTAAGCTGGGCTGGAAATTTTCTTATGTTGAATTCCGATCATTATTTTGAAACACATTCTGAAACTCTTATTATTCCTCGGCCCTTATTATTAAAATACTTGGTGGGAAACTTTCAAGTTATCAGTAGACCTTTGACCTAACTATTAGTATATTCTAGTTTTAGCAAATGGACGGTCAGTGAAGGCTATTTTCATAGTGAGTCCACAGAGCAATCTCTGTCAGGGCCGTGTTTTTCTGCCTGCTCATCTTTACGCACTCTGAAATCCCATGAGGATTTTATTTCAGTTCCTTTGAAAGGTGACTCTTTCGCCATTTGATTCCTATAAAATCTTTGATTGTGGAAAAGGTGAGAGCAATAAAAATAATGCTCCTGCTTCCCAGAGACAGATTATTTTATAGAATTATTAGAGAGCACATTTTTTGGCAGCCTGTCAAAGAAACATTTAACGGTTGAAATGTCGAATGCATTTCATTTAGGTTTTCTCATGTCATATACTTAAAATGTGAAATACCAGGACTTCTAGTTCTCTTCTGAAGCAAACCTGTAGCCACATCTGGCCTTTTGTCTTCCGGATTGGGGCTAGTTAGACTTCAGTGGAGACCCTCAGGGCTTATGAGTAAGATTTTTATTGTGTGAGCTTTAGTTATAAGCTATGAAAATGGACATCATAAGATACATACTTGGCCTGGACCTCTGAGGAGGTAAGAGATGTATTCCACTAAGTGGCTTATATTAGAGCTTCCTTCTAACTTAAGCCTTTGATTCCGGCAACAATGAAGATACCCCTGGGCGGGGTAAATTGTTACTGGTCATTTTCATTTTAGCTGCAGATACTCTCCTGAGAGCAGGCTTTGATGTTCAGGGGATCACCGTGGGGACACTGCATAGTCCAAAGGGTGGGAGAATACACTATGATGGGGGAAGGTATAAATTCAGAGTGATGTTGTCACAGTTATGTTTCTGGAAGAGGTAGCATGGGGAAGTGAAAAAGAGTATGGACTTCGGAGTCATGTAGACCTGAGTTCAGATCCCATTCTGTTTCTTACCTTGGTGACCTCGGGAAAATTATTTAACTTCTCTGTTTAACTGATTTCAGTTTTCTATCTGTAAAATGGGAATAATGATACCTACTTTGGAAGATTATTATGAGATTAGATATTGTATCTCCCTGTCATACTTAGTGTAGTGTCTGGTACATAGACTTTCCCACAAATGTTCTTTTTTTTTTTTTTTAATTTTATTTATTTATTTATTTATTCCCCCAAAGCCCCAGTAGATAGTTGTATGTCATAGCTGCACATCCTTCTAGTTGCTGCATGTGGGACGCGGCCTCAGCATGGCCGGAGAAGCGGTGCATCGGTGCGTGCCCGGGATCCAAACCCGGGCCGCCAGCAGCGGAGGGCGCGCACCCAACTGCTAAGCCATGGGGCCGGCCCCCACAAATGTTCTTAATGTGATAATGGTGTATGAAATGGATTAGAAGTAAAGGCATCCTTAACAAGATTTATAATCTGCCCGAATCTCTCTCTCCTTCCTTAATTTTACTGTTTCCCAACTTGATTTTCATTTCAGTGTGCCCAGACTCGTCATTGCCTTTTCCACCTCAATGACTTTGCTTATCTTGGTGACGGTGCCTGGACTCCCTTCTTATACTATCAAAACTCTCTTCCTCTCTCAAGCCTTTCTCAACTATTTAAGTCCATAATGAGCAATCCTTCTTTAAATGGGTTAAGTATTTATCTGTACAGCTCGTTTAGCCATTTAATTTCATTGTCTTATGTTATTTAATTATTTCTGATGTGTATGTCATGTCTTTCCCCATCAGATTGTGAATACTACGAAGAGAATGACTGCCTCTTATTTCTTTTGTATTCACCATAGCATCTAGGATAGTGCTGTATATCTAGTAGTTAGCCTGTACGTGCTTTCTGAGTGGAGACCTGAATATTCATCATCGTTGGGATAGTGATGTTGAGAGAAAGCTGGCTATAAAATCTACCGGGACCTTTTGCACATTTCTTAGGCTTTGGTCACTGGTTGTCTCTGGTTAGATCATATTTCCCTATTCTCTGCTACCAGGCACTATTAAACTTGGTTAAGGGACTCTGTATGTATTAGCTTTACCCAAAAGGTGAAGATTTTTCAGAATACCTATGGGAATCACCAAAATGCTGGCTGATGAAAACAGGGACAAAGAAGTCAGATATATCTGCTGAGTGTGTAGTGTCTGTCATTGTGCTCGTCCACTTTCCTGTGGTGAGAGTTTTCCTGCAGAATTTTCTTTGGATTTTCCTCCATGGTGGGGGGCCGCACCTTCCAAATCCAGTCCACTCACCTTGGACCCTTTGGAAAGTAGAAGAGACACTTGATGGCTTACTGTGAATTCTACATGAGCTATGGTCAGGGATTCATTTCTTTCAGTTAACTGTTTAAAAAGTTATTTGTTTTCTTCTGATGATAAAAGTAATATACATTCATTGTATAAAATAAAGAAAGCTATCAATAAGAAAAAAAATCATCTATAATCTCATTACCCAGATATTAAACCACTGTTACCATTTTGGTGTTTTTTTTCTTTCACTTTTTTCCCTTGCATATATATGTACATATGTGTGTAAATGAAAGTATCAATTATTTGTTAAAATTTAATGTTGTAGTTCTTCAAGAAATGGTGCCAGGATCATGACTATAATGGCCAAATAACTTTGCCCAACATATGGGCGCACATACTATACTACCCTTACGTTTGTTACTTCTGGTATCAGTCCTAGTTTTTAAGCCTGGGTTCATTCAAGAAGTCAAAATATTTATGTTCTCTATGTTTCCTGAGCATGCTAAATGGCAGCGTTATTTTTATCTGCCCTTTGGCTCTGAGTGACAGGTTTTAGCCAACCCTTGGCTTCACTGCTAAGTAGTTCAGTCTGTCTCCTGTTTCTAGTCTGCTTGGAAACTAGGAAACATGCATGACTTCCTTTATTTCACTATCCTCCTTTACCTCAGAGTTAATCAAGAATTAGGAGTGTTTTGTAAGGGCTTTATGGTTTCTACTGCACTGTTAGAACTATGTTGCAGAAATAACGTTTTTTTGCTGCACATTCTTTCATGGTAGGTATTGAGTAGCTGTTGAACATCCCATTATTGAACAGGTGGCGTTTTTACAATGGTCCTTGCCAAGATTTTCTGCCAGAATCAAGGTCTGAATTTAGAAGATACCTTCAGTGTCTCGTCTTTATTTCTTAACAAATCCAAATTTTTGTTCACTATTTGAAGGTGAATGATAGCTTTCTGACTCCAAATCAGATATCTGATTTGGAAGCTACCTAGTTAATGAATAGAGTTTGGAGTAAAAAAACACCTGTTCTGGGCCGGCCCCGTGGCTTAGCGGTTAAGTGCGTGCGCTTCGCTGCCGGCGGCCCGGGTTCGGATCCTGGGTGCGCACCGAGGCACCACTCCTCCAGCCATGCTGAGGCCGCGTCCCACATACAGCAACTAGAAGGATGTGCAGCTATGACAGACAACTATGTACTGGGGCTTTGGGGGAAAAATAAATAAATAAAATCTTTAAAAAAAAAAAAAAAAAAACACCTGTTCAGGAAGGAGTTTACATATAAAGACTTTTCTCTGACATTGACTTAATGCTTAAGCAGACTTGCAGGCAGTTTGTCCATCTGTTATCTTTGAAAAAATAAAACTGTTCATTGATTATTTTTTCCCAAACATTAGTACAGTCAGCTCTACTATAACATGATATAAAATTTCTAAAAATCATTGTGTGGTAAAAACCACAAGGCTTATGGGAAAAATGGGGTTAGGGGCACAAGACTCAAAAACTTTGTCAGTGACACATATAAAAAGAGATAAGAACCTAATAAAAATGGTAGCACAGTTTTACATATGTTAAATGGCTGAAAGTACATAAATACTACAATAAATGGGAGTTTACCTTGAAAAGACTTGAAGTTTGCTTGTGAAAGTGGCATTGGAAGGGTTACAACTTGTGAAGTAGTGAAAGGGTTATCTGAAGTATGACAAAATTGTAATACTAAATATGGATGAGTGTGGCTCATCACAGGCAGTGAACTGAAGAAGCTGGTAGATACTTGAGTGTGTGCTTGTATGCAGTTTGTATATTCCTACACTGGTCAGTTCAGCTGAATTCAGTTTTCTGGATTCATCTCGTGTTTTTTGTAGATTAAATGACACATAAGCAAACACAAAAATTGAATTGTGTTCAAATTGTTCCCTAATATCTCAGTTGCATAGGAACAGATTTGCATTTTCAAAACAAGTGTTACGACAGAACTGACTATATTCAGTCAAAGCTTTCTTTATTGCTGCCTTTCTCATTTAACCAGTGGAAAGAATTATGGATTTGGGAGGGAACTTTAGGTAGAGAGTCTGTGATCTCTTCATTTTATGGGTGAAGAAACTGAGGCTCAGAGAGGTTGTGACCTGACAAAAGTTAGTCCTGGGGTAAGAAGCTTGGTTTCAGGATTCCCCAATATTCTTTTCACACTTCCTCTTACTTCCAAAGTTGCTTGTCGTTTATACCATATAGTATATCACTTGAATATATGTTTTCATGTAATGGTTAATCATTCTTTGATGTAACATGGTTGAATAGACATTAAGTGGCTGAGCATTACTTTTTTATTTATTTATTTTTTTTTAATAATTTTATTTATTTATTTATTTTTTCCCCCAAAGCCCCAGTAGATAGTTGTATGTCATAGCT